GCCCCGGCCTCCCCAGCCTCCCGGAGCCTCCTCGGCCTCCCGAGCGGCGCCCCGGCCGTGTGCGCTGCCTCCTGCGCCGCCTCTCCCCGCCCCCGACCCGCAGGTCGCCAAGGTGGGGTGGGACCTATCGGTGGCGGTGGAGGGCGGTATTTGCACACGCCCCGGGGTCACAGCGGCCGCCCCCAGGCCCGCCCCGTCGGCTGAGACCCGCGCCCTGGGGACCCCGGGACCCGCGCACTCAAGTGAGCCCGGAATTCGTGCTGTGACCTCGCGGGGACCGCAGGGGAAGGAGGAGCCCGTGAGGGAGAGGGGGAAAGGGGCGAAAGTGGAACAAACCGGGTGGAAGGTTTTGTTTAGGTTTAAAAAAATATTTTTAAAGATAAATTCTTGAGACAGTATCACATTGAAAGGACTGTGTTACTGTTATTAACTCATTATAACTTGGAGAAATATTCACTTTGCCTAACATATCTGTAGTTTGGAAACCTCAGCTTGTCTCTATTTTATTATTAAATAATAGCTTATTGAGATATAATTCATGTACCATACAATTCACCTATTTAAAGTGTACAAGTTGGTGGTCCTTAGTATACTTACAAAGTTGTGCAGTTATCATCACAATCAATCTTAGAACATTTCATCACTCTAGAAGGAAACCCTGTACCCATTAGCAGGCACCCTCCATTCCCTCACTGCACCCCAATCACTAAACTGCCTATTCTGGCGTTTTATATAAATAGAATCAGACAATAGGTGGTCTTTTGTGGCTGGCTTCTTTCACTGAGCATATCTTCAAGGGTCATCCATGTGGTAGCATGTATCAGTACTTGATTCCTTTTTATTAGTAAATGACATTCCGTTGTATGGATGGATCACTTTTATTTATCCATTCATTGGTTGATGGACATTTGCGTTGTTTCCACTTTTTAGCTATTATGAATAGTGCTGCTATGTAGGTACTAGTTTTTGTAGGAAAATGTTTTCGTTTCTCTTGGGTCTATACCTAAGAGTGGAATTGCTGGGTCATGGGTAACTGCTGTGTTTAATCTTTTGAAGAACTGCCAGACTGTTTTCCAAAGTGGCTGTACCATTTTACATTCTCACCAGCACTGGATGAAGCTTCCAATCTCTCCTCATCCATGCCAACATTTGTCTTTTTGGTTATACCATCCCAGTAGGTGTACCTTATCGTGATTTTGACTTGCATTTCCGTGATAGCTGATGATGTTGAGTATCTTTTCATGTGCTTGTTGGCTATTTGTGTATCTTCTTTCAAGAAATGTCTATTCAAATCCTTTGCCCATTTATAACAATTGGATTATTTGTCTTTTTATTATTGAGATGTAAATATTCTTCGTGTATTCTAGATACAATTCCTTTATCAGATATACAATTTGCAAATATTTTCTCCATTATGTGGGATATCCTTTCACTTTCTTGATAGTGTACTTTGCAGCAAACAAGCTTTTAATTTAGATGAAGTCTAATTTATCTATTTTTTCTTTTGTTGCCTGTACTTTTGGTGTCATAGCTAAGAAATCATTGCCTAATCCAGGGTCAAAGATTACATCTGTGCTTTTTTCTAATATTTTTATAGTTTTAGTGCTTACATTTAAGCCTTTGATCCATTTAGAGTTAATTTTTGTGTATGACGAGAGATAGGCATCCAACTTTATTCTTTTGCATGTGTATATTCAGTTGTTCCAGCACCACTTGTTGGAAAGACAATTCTTTCTCCATTAAATTGTCTTGAGACCCTTGTTGAAAATCAGTTGATCCAGAAAATCAATTTCTGGACTCTCAGTTCTATTTCACTGATGAATATGTCTATCCTTATGCCAAATCCACATTGTTTTGAAAACTGTAGCTTTGTAGTAAGTTTTAAAGTCAGGAAATGTGAGTCACCCAACTTTGTTCTTTTTCAAGACTGTTTTGAGTATTCTGGGTCCCTTGCATTTCCATCTGAAATTTAGGATCAGCTTGCCAGTTTTTGCAAGGAAGCCAGCTGGGATTTTGATGGAGATTGCATGGAATCTGTAGATTGATTGAAGTAGTATTGCTACCTTAAGATAAAGTGTTCTGGACCATAACCCATAAATGGATGTTTTTCCATTTCTTTAGGTCTTCTTTAATTCTCTCAACAGCGTTCTGTAGTTTTCAGCGTACAAGTCTTGCACTTCCTTTGTTAAATTTATTTCTAAGTATTTTATTGTTTTTGACACTATTGTAAATGGAAATGTTTTCTAATTTTGTTTTCAGAATGTTCTTTGCTACTGTATAGAAATAAGCAATTGATTTTTTTATACTGATCCCAGCAAACTTGCTGAATTTGTTTGTTAGTTCTAATAGACTTTTAGTGGATTCCTTTGCATTTCTTTTTTTTTAATTTACAAGATTATGTCATCTGGAAATAGAGTTTCACTTCTTCCTTTCGTATTTGGATGCTTTTTGTTTCTTTTTCTTGCCTTACTGCTCTGCCTAGAACTTCCAGTACAATGTAGAATAGAAGTGTGAACAGGCACCCTTGTCTATTCCTATTCTTAGAGGAACGCGCTCAGTCTTCTACCACTGAGCACAATGTTAGCTGTAGGTTTTTCTTAGATGCCTTTTATGAGAATGAGGATATTTCAGGTTATCTTATGATTCTCTTGTTTTCTCCTTGGTTCTCTATGTTTATCTTGTCTAGTATGGGAGAAGAAGCATTAGGCTGAGACTTAAAAGACCTCAGTTCCGAAGCTCCTTTGCCTTTAGTTTTCTCAACTACATAGTGAGTGTATTGAAGAAGATCCTTGGTGCTACTTTTCTTTGTAAAAAAATTCATGGTTCTTCCTTTACATTTTCTTCCAAAGAGGGAGAGACTGGATATGAGCGCTTTATGAGTAATCTGTCTTCTCCCATCTATGGAGTTTCTTAATGATGTCTTTTACAGAACAGAAGTTCTTAATTTTTATGTAGTCCATTGATCCTTTATGTGCCATTTTAAAGAAATTTTTTGCTCATCCAAGATCTTGAAGATATTATTTAATGCTGCTTCTAGAAAATTTATCATTTACTGATCTTATTTAGATCCACAATCCACCTAGAATGGCTTTTTGTGCATTGTATGAGGTAGGGGGATCACAATTTACTTTTTCTGAAACACATATCCCAGTGCAATATTTATTTTAAAAAAACAGTCCTTTTTGAACTGTTCTGCAGTGCCATCTCTGTCATAAATAAAGTGTCCATATGTATGTTTGGATCAGTTCTGCACTCCTTCTTCTGTTTGATTAGTGTGTCTGTCTATCCTGGCACTTGCCATAATTATTGTCGATTTATCTGAAGTGTTGATGTTCGGTAGACTAAGTTCTCCCTCCTTGTTCTTCAAGCGTGTCTTAAATATCCTTGAAACTTTACAATATTGTGTAAATTGTAGAATCATCAAGTAGATGTCTACAAAAAGCTTATTGGTGTTTTGATGGGGATTGCATTGACTCTATAGGTACATTTGGGGAGAAATGATGTCTTTATAATATTGAGTCTTATAATCTCTGTAACTGGAATACTCCTTTATTTATAAAGATTTTCTTTAATGTCTCTAAAGTTATTTTACGATTTTTTGTGTAGAGGTCTTGTAAATTTTCATTAGGTTTATCCCTACTTTCTTAATTTTTTTTTTCTGATGTCTGTAACTAATGGCAATTTTATTTTTTTCTCTCCCATCCTTATACCTTTTATTTGTTTTTTTTTGCTTTATTGCAGTGGCTAGGACCTTCAGTACAATGTCAAGAAATGTGATGTTATCAAGCATCCATGGATCATTTCCAAGGGCAGTGGGAAGATTTTCTATGTTTCACCAATAAAAATGTTTGCTATGTGTTTTGTATGTTCTCTATCAGATTAAGGAAATTGTCTTCTAGTCCTAAAATGGATGTTGAGTTTTATCAAAGATATTTTTTATAGCTATTGAAGTGATTATATTATTTTTCTCCTTTTTTTTTCTGTTAGTATCATGATTGATGTTGATTTGCAAATGTAATGCTTGCCTTGCATTTCTGGATAAACCACACTGGTCGTGACATATATTTCCCATTAACATATTGCTGGATTTAGTTTGATAACAATTTGTTTTAGAGTTCTGGGTCCATTTTCATGAGTGAGATCAGCCCATCATTCTCCTTTCTCATAAATTCGTTTCTGGGTTTTTTCAGAATCAGTGCTATAGACTGAGTGAAAACATTCTCACTTTTGATCTTCCGTGTAACGGTTTGTATAAGATGAAGATCATTTCATTCCCAAATGTCTAGTAGAATGTTAATGGACCCATCTGTGCCTGGGTTTTCTTTGTCTAAAAATTTTAAATTATGAATTCAAGTTCTGAAATAGTTACATAATTATTCAGACTTTTTCTTTCTTCTCGTGTCACTTTGTTGCAGATGTATTGTTCCCGTTTTTTTTATTTCGTCCCTATTTTCAGTTGTGTTGGCCTAAGTGTTCTGTGACATCTGCAGATGTTTATCAGATCTGTAGTGATACGTGCCTCCACACCCCCATTCCGGCATTTTCTTCTATCATTGGTTATTTGTGCTTTTTTTCCTTTTTATTTTTTGGTCTTGATCAGCCTTGGCAATGGTTTAACAATTTTATCAGTCTTTTCAAAGAACCACCTTTTGACTTTGGTGACCCTCTCTGTTTTTGTTGTTTTCTAATTCATTAATCGATGCTCTTTTCTTTATGATTTCCTTCAGTCTATTTACTTTGGGTATAATTTATTAGATTACTTTTTCTAACTTCTTGCAAT